TCTGGGAGAAACTGAGCAAGGGTCAGCAATGTGGAATTGTGGTTTTGTGTTAATAACAGTCACTGTAAGAAGTTATCTGTGTTTGACTTCGTTAATTCCTAGTTGGTGTTATTGGTCTCATTCTTCTATATGATTAAAAATTTTACCTTCTGCTGTTTCAAACTGTTGAAGAGCATTGATACAAAAAGGATTTAATTTCCCAACAGATTGTAGTGATTTCCATAATACTCAGGAGTGTTTTGGGAAGGACAAGCAGTATTACCTGTGACGGTGTATCATTCACCAGCAGTATGTTTGTACCTTCAAACATGTAAAGCTGTAGCTCTCGGTACTCCAAGCGATTTAGGAACTTCATATCAAGAATGTGTGCTCATACTTTTAAAGTATTCTGTGTGGCAAAATTGCTGAAGTTCTCTCTTTGTGATCCGTAGTGTTTCTTCTGTGTAGACCTGAGAATGATGCATTTTGTAATTTTCCTTAGCAGATCACCAAAGTGCTTATACCCAGGGCTTTGCTGGTATGATTAACAGTACTTATAACTTAAATGTATTTTTATCAGGGGCTTGTAAGTGAAAAGACAGAGTTTATCAGAGTTCTCATTAATTTGGAATGTAAGTTGCATTAACAGCTTGCTTCTGGAATTTGAAGGGCAAGCATGGGATGGCATGTGACCTTTCATGGGGAAGATTTATATAAGAAGGGAGTTTAAGGGACTAGGGTTCAGGAACCAGCAAGTTGTGCCAGAATTTTAGTATGTTGCATGTTTGTGTTACTGAAAGAGAAGATGGGAAGAGGGCAGTGAGGAAGAGTGCAGTTAGAAGAGTTTGGGGAGAAAAGTTGCATTTTTTTCTCAGTTTCTTAAGGCTTAGAGTGCTGATTTTGGAATTTTTACAGGCTGAAATTCCATTTTGGTCTTGGACAAATTCTCTTTGTGTAGCTGTTGTGCAGGTGATAGAATGCTATGCATAAAAGCATAGGTCAGATTTCCTGTTTGATCAGGTTTTGTTCATAATAGGATGACTTATGCAATCCTCGAGATAAAGATACTGCTGGTTTTCCTTTTTATTTCTTATTTTTCTACTCCTCTTCCTTCCTGAAAATGAAATCGCAGTTCATCGCTGAATCACCGCTGAAATCACAGCTTTCAAAATTCCTAAATGTTTGAATTTTTAGGCACCACTTTATGTGGTGTGTAAATGATTTACTCAAGATTTGAAGTAAAAATAATTGCAAAATACTTCAGTCAAAAAATAGGGAGGGTTTTGCTTTTGCAGAAATAACTTAATGAAGATAACAACGTGAGTGTTTAATAATAGCAGCAGCAGAGGTTTTGTTGAGTATGTCTCCTGAGCTCTTGTTACTGCCAGGCATCTTTTGCATACCTAATAATAAAAGCAATTACTGCTTTACGTAGGGCACATTAATATGCAGTGATTGTTCGTGCCATGCTCATTCATGTGTATGCTGTACTAAGTAGTTTGAATGGTGTGCCTAATGATCTGAGTTTAAGCGGTTATAAATAGTAAGTTTCTCCAAAAGTAATGCTTCCTATTTAATTCAATGGAAACTAAAACACATGCAGAGAACGCAGCAACACTTCCTGATGGAGCACATTCTCTGCCTCAAAGCACTATTTTTCAGCATAGTCACCACAATTAGCTATTTTTGCATTAGGGATGCAGAGGTCCATCTGGCTGGCTGTGACTGAATTTGTTAACACTGAAATACCTTATTTTTTCAATTTAAAAAGAGTCTGTAGTAATGACAGCCAGTTCTTCCTCAAAGTCTCAGTAAAGGGAGTGAATAAAGGAAATAGGAAAAATTCTGGGATCTGTGAAGCAGCAGGAGGCACTAACTACAGGCTGAGCTGCAAGCTGGGATTTATGGTCAGTATGTGTATGTGTGTGAGCTTAGTGGGCAACACATTTAGTTAATTAGCTCCAGTTAATAGAACATTCACTTTGGTAGAGAAGGAATGTCCTTTTTAAGAAGGGCATTTAAGAATTATAAGTCCATGAAACAAGACTATGGAGAAGATGGATGTAGAGTGGAGGGAATGTGGTTCTGATCTAGCATTTATTCTTTTGTTGGAAAGCCGTATTAATCTTTTCAAATTATTTTACTTAAATAAAATGGGCGAAGGCTGTTGCTTATCCAGTGAAGGCAGTGGAGAGTGTGGCAGAGGTTATTTCCTTTTCTCTTCTAGCCATGAGGTGAACAGTATAGTGGAATGAGAAATGGCTCTTTGTTGCTATGTCAGTGTTTGCACTTTTGAAGCCCACCTGCTGGAGTGTGCCTCCATTCAAGGAGACCTGGAGAAACTGTATCCCTTGTACAAAATCTGGGAGACCACATTTTATGTTTGACTGCATACCAAAGCATAGGGGTAGAAGGGCAAAATTGCACATCTGTATCCCTTCCCCTCCATGTCTAATTTTTCTATTCTCTCTAATAGATGTCTTTAAACGTTATATTTTAATAGATTTCTACACACAAAATAGAATTTTATATTCTTGATTAAATGTGTTTTCAAATATTTGATCAGAATTTAAAAAAAAATCCACAAAAATAGGAAAATGTGAACAAAAACTGATTTTACAATGCCTTCACACTTGGCATGAGAATTTAGTAATTTTTGGAAAGTTGTCAGTAGCGTATACTGAATTAAATTGTAGCTATTGATGAAATTCTGTAGTCTTTCTATTTCTGCCATTTGTGCTGCAACAGCTATAATAATATGATTGTGCAATACAGAGATGGTTTTCTATTTATCTCTGTTTAAATAGCCATATGAAACTGATAGATGTCATGCAGTGTAAAATTTGCAAATCTCTACCATAGGACATTTATTTGGAAGGATTATCAGGGCCTTTTTTTTTTTTTTTTTTCTCTCTCTATTCACTTCTGATAGGAAACTTCGTTCTCCTGGTGCTTGTATGCTGTGATATAGAACTATTTGCTTTCATGTTTTGCCTTTAAAGTGGGTCTGTGATGCATGGTCCTTCAGGCATCCTTCCACAAAATCTTATTTCTAAATTTAATCTTTCTTTATGTTGTTGATTCTTTCAAGATTCATCTCAACTGCTGTGGTCTTTACCTATTAAAAGGCATTTTAAGAGGTTGCAGACTTCAGTTTTGCTATTTAGGAACCTTCATGTGTGTTTTGTTGAAGTCTGCTTTCCTAAGTACCTGCTTCTATTTTAAATCAGACTTTCATCCATGTTTGTTGTCATGTCACCTTCCTTTCTCATTATCTTAAAACAATTTTCTTCAGCAATCAGACTAATATTAATCTATGTTGTGTTTGTAGCATAGCATAATTAGTTACAACATGATGTTGTAACATAAGTAACATGGAGAAGTTGGTGTTTTTCTGTGGAAAAGGCAAGATGGGTGTAAGAGGAAAGACCCTCTCGTACAGACTGAAGATGAACGTTCTCTCCACTGCTGTGTGCTGCTTCTTTAAATGTGAAAGACATAAGCCAAAGTCTATTGACAGCCTGCTTAGCATTGGGTAGTGACTCAGCTCACATCGGTCCTGGTGTGCAGCATTCCTTCAGAACAGTCTTGTGCTGTGGTTTAACCCTGGCAGGCAGCTCAGCACTGCACAGATGCCCATTTGCTCTCTGCACATGCTGTGGAGAGAGAATTGGAACAGTAAACATGAGAACTCATAGGCTGAGGTAGAGGCAGCTCTCCAGGTAAGGCAAAAGCTGGGGCGCACATGGAGAGCGAAACAAGGGAATTAATTCATCACTTCCCATCAGCAGGGTGATATTCAGCCCCTGCCAGCAAAGCAGTGCTCATCACACTTAACAGTTTCTTGGGAAGATGAATGCCATCACTCTGAACGTCTTCCTTTCCTCTCCCTTCCTCCCTGCTTTCACTGCTGAGCATGATGCCACATGGAATGGGATAACGCTCCGGTCAGCCTGGGTCAGATGTTCTGGTTGGCACCTCCTAGCTCCTTGCTGGCAGGGCAGTGTGAGAAGCAGAGAAGCTCTGTGTAGGCACTGCTCTGCAAGAATGGAAACATCAGTGTGTTGTCACCACTGCTTTCATCAGAAATCCAAAGCACAGCATCGTTTGAGCCACTGTGAAGAAAATCAACCCATTGATTAATCTAAAAATTGCTTTCAAATGGCTGACACTGCATCTCAGAGATCAAGTTCAATAAAAGTGTTGGTTGTTTTCAGGTTTTTTTCAAGGTCTTCAACAGTTCTGAGATGATGAGTGTGCAGATCTGTTTGCATGTGTGTTTCTGTATTATTCAAAGTTACAGAATGCAGCAGTTGAGTATTTGTCTCTTTTGAAGGGCTTGATATCTACTGCACTGTATTTAATTAAAAAAAAAAAAAAAGAAAATAAGAGGCCAAAAAAAAAAAAAAAAAAAAAAAAAAAAAAACCACCTAACAAACAATTGAGAGAAGTTAGCAGAAATAAGCAGGTTTTTTTTTTGTTTTGTTTTTTGTTTGTTTTTTTCCTCTGTGCCTTTCAGTGAGAAAATCTCAGGTGACTTGCCTTGATGGAAATCACAGCTGGTTTCCTAGGGCACTAGAATGTCCCAGATAAACCCTATAAGCTCTTAGTCTGTGAGCTTCACCCTTTTGAAGACTACTTTTTTGCTATATGTTTGTTTTGTGTGTGTGTTGTTTTATTATTTTTTTTTTAATAACAGACTGTCCATTACTTATAATTTACTTTTCTTTGTAGAAAGAGCCTAGGATTACCAAAAATCAGCCATCTCTTTTGAAACATGTGGCAGATATAAGCTGGCTGCAGCTCACAGCTTCATTTCATATTATTACTTCTGAGGTTATTACTGGAGAATATTAAGATTGTGTTTACTGTGTAACGTGCAAGATTCCAGTTCTTGCTCTTGGGGTGAAATGTTTCCAAGTATTGGATATATTCTCAAATTTATGGTAGTTGAAATTCTGCCAGGTTGCACCGATCGTCACTGAATTTTGTCTTTCAGTAATTGTGTTTTTGTCTTCCAGCAGGCCCAGCAGAAGGTTTGGGAAAAATAATACAGAGGTTTCCTCAGAAGGACTGGGAAGATACTCCTTTCCCACAGGGAATAGAGTTGGTAAGTTTGCACTGTATTTTGCAGTTTTTAGAATTTCTTTTACATACAGTTGGGAACTGCCTTCCTACAGTAACATATTATCAAGTCTAACAGGGAATGTGAAGAAATAAGGTGAGTAAAGGGGACAGGTAATAGCTTTCAGAATAGTAATTTTGGCTAGCAGGACATAATTCATTCTTACTATATGTTGTATTCCTAGAATACAAAAAGAATCTGCTTCAAGCTTAGAAGCAATGTGCTTAAAATAAATATTTATTTGTGTCCATGTATGTATTGTTGGCTACATTTTTAGAGGTATCCTTAAAATTGCAGATGATTTCTTAAGTCATGTTCAAGTAAACAGATGTGTATTTTTATATTGTACGCTTTAAAAATGAATTAAAAATTATAATGACATCACAATTAACTGGCTTCATTAAAACAGTCAGTCTTCAGCATTCATTGTGCTCTCTGTTAAGGACAACAGTAGTGACAGCTGTGCTGAACAAGGTGAGTGTACAATGATCTGTTTTAAGTATCCTCTGCAGTAAGTAGCCCTTTCCCTCTCGTGGCGTGATGCTGTGAGATGCAATGAGGAGGTGTATGTTACTCATTCAGGTCAGGGGTTTGTTACATATACGGCCCTAAAAATCCTGCAGAGAAATAGATTACTGTGCTTTTACTATGCAAATGAGGCTTCTGAGAAGTTAGCTGAAACTTACTGCTGTGAACTTAGGGACTTCTGGGACAGGATGAGCTAAGGAAGGAGATGGCCTTTAGGAAGTGTTACAAAATCTGCTGCAGAGAATAAAGACACTCACGCTTCACTGAACTTGTTACACAGATACAGCAAACACAGCAACATTTTATTGGTATGGTACCTTTTAATCGATGTCCAGCTGGCTTTCAGATTCACAATATGCCTTTGGCCAGGTGCTGTCCTTTCCTGTTGAAGGGGGAGAAGGAGACCTTGGTGTTTTTTGCTTGCCAGTATGCTCTCTCATATGGCAGAGGTTTGTATTATTCACTGTGTGCTGGTGTACGGGACCAGCTGCTCGTTTTCTTCAGCAGTGTGGTTTAAATTTCTTCATAGTCAAGCACAATCCTTATGTTTTGTGGGGATGTCATGCATTAATGACTGGTGTAAGCATTATTTCCGATACACGTGATGGATAGTTACAGTGTTTGTGGTAGGCTTGCATAATACTGCATTTAGCAATGTAGTGCTGTGCTGAAACAATGGAAGCTCCTGCTTTCTCTGAGGTATTTCTGCTACTGTTACAACATGACAGCACTGCACATAGCTATTGCAGTTTGCTGTAACAGGTAGTGTGTGCTCAGCGATTACTAACCAGGTTCAAATGAGTGACTTTCACAGTAAGGACAGTTACGGATCTTGAGAAGTAACCTTTTGATGGGAAGGCTTAGTTTTGCTTTTTGCTTATTTGTTTGTGTTTTGTTTTCTCTCCACTCTCTTGGAGTTGAAGGAGGTGGCTTGTTCTTGCTTTAAACAATGGCAATAATTTGAGTCATACTGAGATTTATTTTGTCATATTAATCTTCCTTACCTATTTCAAACTGCTCATTTCCACTGATGTTTTGAAATTAAAAGAGAACAGTTACAGTTAAAGCAGTGAAGCTGTTTATCTCTACTCAAACGATTCATTAAGTAGAATCATTGAGACTTGAAACTTCCCAAGGAAAATGTAATCTAGCTGTTTAAACATTAGGGACATCTTTTCAGCTAGTCTGTAAAGTTATTCAAGTTTTAAATTGCTGTCCGAATATGACAATCAAATTTTATTTAATTACGATTGAAGAGATAACACAAAGATCATGTACTGAAGTAAGTCATTTAAAAGGGTCGGATATTGGCAAGATGTTGTTCTCAACTTTTTGTGTGAGTGTAACATGAATCAATGTAAATAGCAACACAGTGTGTTGGGTTTTTTTTCTTTCTATTTTATGCTTGTCATCTTAAGGGCGGTATTGATATCATTAAGTGCGTAACTGGCAAACCTGGAACAAAGAGAAAGGAGGTGAGAATAGTCTAGTTGACAAAAATGTGTATGAGAATTAAGGTAGACATCTTTGTGAATAGTACTTAAATTAGCCATAGAAGTAGAAACCTTCAAATGTATTTCCTCTGCTTTGAATGAAGAATCCTTATGGAGCTATAAGATTTCTCTGCCTGGGAAATGAAATAATAGAACAGCAATGACTTCTAGTTGAAAAACATTAATCTCCATCCACTTTTCATGAAGGAAAAAATGAAAACACGCTTTTAATGCCTACTGTTAAGGTTGAAGGGGGTTCTGTTTTTGAGTCTTAGTTTCTGTCAAAGCTGGTTCCTCTACCATGAATCACTGAGATTGTGGTTCCCTTTCCTGCCCCCCAAGTGTTTTATAAAGTGCATTGTTTGTCTCTGAATTTGGGCATGTGAATATCCAGATTGCATGTCCAAATAGTGTAGGATGAATCAGACAGTTTGTCTTGGCAGTTAATGGATGATATGATCCAATGCTTGTTTTCCATTTGTATTGTTCATGGTATTTTATGAAACAGGGTGAAGGACTATGCCCATACTCACCCCCCAAGTCTGAATACCTTAAGATGAAAAAAGTCTGTTTGGACCACAGACTGTAGAAATGCAGTTGGTACATGTTCTGCTCAAAAGTTCACTGAGACTTCTTTGGAGGAGTCTTTCCTCCTCCTCTGAACTCTGCATACCTCCTGCTTGACTCCAGTTTGCCAAGATTACTGAGACCCAAGCTAAGTCAGTGTGGAGAAGAGAGTGGTGCAGATAGTTCTAAGCTAAATAAAAGCGGTACAGATAATATTTTTTGTTTTGTTGAGCCCAGTTTCGAAAAATGGGCTGACATAGAAAGGACTGTACCCAGTGGACCTGCCCTTGTCCAAGTGCAAGGGATCATCCTGAGAACAACTTACGGAGGAAAAAAAACAAACACCAAAATACAAGAACTTTTAGCCTTGACTGCATTTGTACTTCTGCTAATTCAACATAGATATGTTGAGAATTAGGTCATTATAAAATGTAATTGCAGTTTGAGCTTTTCTGAAGAATACTATGTTTCATATGTATATATTCTGCATTATAAGGAGCTAGAGCATTACTTAAATGTGATTTTATATATATTTTTTATGTGAGTAGTATGTTAGTTACATCCTAGTTTTCTTTAACATGCATTAATTCTGAAATAAACATGTTGTCCAAAATACAACAGAAATACATTTAAGGAGGCTCTACTGAAGTCAAGTGTTTGAATTTGTTTCCTAAAATAAATTGTCTCTGGTTGCTCGTGGTAAGGGAGCAAAACTGTAACACAGTTGAGGAAATTATGCTGTCAGTAGTTCTTGATTAGTGTATTTTCTTAGCTTGTACCTATCTGCATCTCTTAAAACTTCATCTTGCATTCTTTACATTTTCCAATGGCTTCACAGCTTTTACCTTTGTTTTCTTTGTAATTAAGAGAGAAACTTTGAGAACTGAGCCACCCAAAAGTTCCTGTGAAGCATATATGAAGATTTTTTAAAATACATTGATTATAGCTAGTTAGGTCACTAGTACTTTCTTCTTTTTCTTTCGTTCTTTCTTTCTTTTTTTTTTTTTTTTTTTTTTTTAAACTGTTTGTTGAATTATGATATAAGGTATGTGTATAAGGTATGACACATTAAGGTGTGTATTATACATACTGCATTCCTTCAGAAGCAGCAAGGTGCTCTGCTCTGATGTGCTAGAATCTCTAGAATCTCTTGTGGGCTATTCAAAAGGAGGAAAAGAAAACTTATAGTTTCAGCTTAGGATTTGAGCATCTTTAGTTTACTGACATAGGGCGTTCTAATGTTTCTAGGAAATAAGCTGACTTTGAAAAATATGAGGATAAAGAATACTTAAGAATATAAGAATTAAGAAAAGAATAATATAAGAATTAAGAAAAGAATAATGTAAGAATTAAGAAAATAATATAAGAATAATTAAGAAAAAGTATTTGCCTCAGAGATGTATTTCAGTCATAGGTTTCCAAGAGCATCTCGTTAAAACTTAACAATGTGATAGCTTTAATTTTCTAAGTATGTATGTTTGGGTACCTTTGACAATAGTTGGTCTGTTTCAGAGAAGTTATTGAAGTTTTACACAAATACACTTTAAGTTCAAAAATAGACCTTTAAACTCATGAGATACAGGGCAGTTTAATATTAGGATGGTTAAACTTATTGTTCTCTCTTGTAGAACGAATCTTAGAGTATGTTGGTTGCATGAGTTGGCTTTATATTTCTGCATATTTTTCTTATAAATAAGCCTATTTTACTTCTGCTATAAACTGTTCTAGACGTCGTAATTAGTTATACATCAAAGGAGGAAGCTTTGGTATGCAGTGTTATAATGTATACTTGCATACTTTGGTATGCAGTCTTATAGTGTATGCTCATTTTTGTCTAGGGGCTAAATTAGCTGAACCACATGTCATCTGCATTACTCAGTTGGGAGGATGATGTTAATTGAGCCGATGAAAATCACACTTGGAAATAGATTTCGTTGTGTGAAACTAAACTGGATGCAGTATTTTCTTTGCAATTTTTGATGAGAAGGGAGGAACATTCGCCCCTATAACGGTTAGTAGAGCCGTCAACTCATACAGATTTAAATTCAAAGATATGCAACGTAGAATTGAGCATGTATTTCTAGACAAGCTAATGGCCTACCCAAATAATTACTCACACCATAAAATGTATCTTTAATTTGTCAAAAAATGTTTATGTTCTTTTCCTTTGGATTAAGCTTACAGGCATTATGATGTGAGAAATGCTTCTGAGGAAAGGCTGTATGCATCCTTTTGAGAGCTGTCTGGAAGCTGGTCTCCTTCTTGAGGGTTAGATGTTGCTGTCATGAGCATATTTTTCCTTAGCATACCTTGATCTTAGCATTTCTGCACCTTTGAATGGCTTCAGATGTAAACTTTTAAATGTACACAAAGTATTTCTTTTATGAAATATTGGAT